CACACATCTACGCACATCCGTATCCATGTGCACGCAGGTATTATAAAATTTATTCATAATCACATTAATATAAAATAATCCCCCTCAAAATATATTCGAACGTTAATGAAAAAAGCAGAGAAAATATATCGGGATTATTATTATATAATTTCTCCTGCTTTGGTAAATATACTTGTTTAAGCTGTATGTAGGAAATGTACATAGACCTTATTGGTTCGTACAATTTCGAATATGGTTTGCTCATGTTCAGGAACAAAACATTTACAAAAAACATAAACTAACGTCATATTGGCGTTTCTCTTAAGAAAATGTATGGCTTTATGAATTTAACACCAGTTGTCATTAGAGAAATGAAGGAATGCTATTGGTTATTGTGTCGGTGTTTAGATCTGATCAGACTGAGTTTTGTGAACTTTTCAGCACTTCTTTGGATATATATATATATATATATATATATAAATATAAAGATAAAAAATATAGTTTTTAAGATATGCTATATTTATGAATAAAATTGAAAATTTTTCAATATCTGAAATACAGCTTATGTAGATATCAAAGTGGACACTGAGGTCAACACCAAGCGGCAGCATTGACAAGAGTCCATTATATATATATATATATATATATATATATATATATATATATATATATATATAACTCAAAATACTTTAAATACACAATCAAAAGCAGTTCAGGGGGGAAATCACTGCATGAGATACCCATTGATCTATGGAAGCAGTTAGCAGCCACAAACACAAGATAAGCAAATTGCTAAATGAATGTCTAAATTTATTCAAATTTTTGGATCGAAATTCATACTTAAATGTGATAATGCCAATTAAGGAGTGAAAACAGTGTTGAAAATCCCTAAGACACAGGCTGAGGAGTTGAGATGGAAAGCAAGATGAGCATTGGAGAAGGTCGACTCTCCTCAACCGAACACAGCCAAGAGGGAAAATTGTTATTAAAATCCTGCAGTGTAAGGATAAACAGAATCACTAAATCCCGTTGAAAGAAGTTGGAATAATAGAGAATAACCCAAAGATAAAAAAACAACTGAAAGACTTAATACACATCGTAGCCTCTAATAATCTGCTTAGTAATCCTAACAGACATAAATACCATATGGGAACTCTTTAAAATAGGAACATTAAGCCTAAGATTAAAAATAAACAAAAACAAACAAAAGACTACCAACTGATTAGAAAAACTCTAGCGTAAAGTCATATATTGGTTCAGTTGAAAAGGCAGACACGGATTATTCATAATTATGAAAATGTAATTAATATGAGTTATCTCCCATGGCAAAAACAGTAAAACGAAAACATTCTGCCTCCATTAACTGATTAAATGTTCGGTTCGAAATTTTCAAAAGATTACCAACTACAGAAAATATCTGAAGATGTCCTGAAGGTATAGTGACCGAAACCTTGTGATTAATAACAACCAAAGTTCAGACAATAATTACCTGATTAAATTAAAAAAAAAATTCCACAAGAGGTTTTGTAAAAAATGTGCAAAAAGAAACATTTTGAAGTGAGGCAAATAGTAAATATAAAATTCCACTAACGTGGGACAATATTTTCCAAATATTCTTTGCAGAAATTGTGGTCGGTTTTTATATGCATACGGCTATTCTATAAAATCCTGAATAGTTTTTTCTTAAATAACTCTTTAGACAACATAACTTTTTTTTTTTTACATCGTTTTCTTGTATTTGGTCAAAAGGCCTACAAATATATATTAATAATATACAATAAGTATCTGTCAATATTTCTGAGATAAGGTATTATGTACACTATTTACATTATTCGGACTATTGTCCTCATCCTTGTCGCCATATTTATTAAAACGTTTCGGATCTAACCAACGCCTTTATCCACTCATACACAGATGTCCTCAAGGACACATGGCACACACAGTGGATAAATGCGTTGGTTAGATCCAGTGACAGGACCCAACGAGTGTGAGTTCAATACCCGGTTAAGGCAGTGGAGAATTTGCAGAGGTGAATTAACAGGAAGATAACTGATAACTGACATCCGTTAGACATGGCACTTGGAACTAGTACAGCCTACCCCAGAGAGCGAAATAAAGGGTTCAATTCGACATTCCAACCACCTGAAGGAGGCCGGAGAGTACAGCCGCCGAAACGTTGTAATAAATATGGCGACAAAGATGAGGACAATAGTCCGAATAATGTAAATAGTGAATATACAATAAATTTTAGTATACTTATTATTATTTGTATTCCTATTTTTTTCACCGTTCTATTATATCTACATATTATAAAAAGAATACTTGGACAATCTTTCGCTACTACTCTTTCTCATATATATATATATATATATATATATATATATATATATATATATCACAGAACATTAGCAACAAGTAATAGAATTCAGGGAGAAACTGGTAGCTTTTGAGGTACAATCCTACTTGGATGCGTATCACTACGGAATTTGTGAGTAGCGACGCTATGTCGAGTCTGTATCAGTTTCTTCTTAGTCACCGAGGCCCATTAGTATGATGCTTGCATTGTATCAGAAAACAGTTCGGGTTCGAATCTCAGTAGTAGATGCACTGCTGATGAGTCTCAAAAAAACAAAACAACCAAAAAAAACAAAAACAAAAACAAAAAACAAAAACAAAACAAAAAAAAAAAACAAAAAACAAAAACCAAAAAAAAAAAACAACAAAACAAAAACCAAAAAAAAAAAACAAAACAAAAATCAAAAAAAAAAAACAAAACAAAAACCAAAAAAAAAAAAAAAACAAAAACAAAAAAAAAAAAAAAAAAAAAAAAAAAAAAAAAAAAAACAAAAAAAAAAAAAAAAAACAAAACAAAAAAACAAAAAAAAAAAAAACAAAAAAAAAAAAAACAAAAACCAAAAACAAAAACAAAACAAAAAAAAAAAAAACAAAAACAAAACAAAAAAAAAAAACCAAAACAAAAACCAAAAACCAAAAAACAAAAACCAAAAACCAAAAACCAAAACAAAAAACAAAACAAAAAACAAAACCAGGACGAAACGTTCGTCCAGTGCTTTTTGCTGAGGATTCTTCTAGACTCGATGAATTACTATAATATATATAAAAAGAGAATGCTCATTGTATGTATTGATTTCTCTAGTTCAAATGAAATCTATGGGAAATAGCATTCTTAGTATAGCTTAGCACAGATTTTCGTTTCTTTTTTTCCTTAATAATTTATTTTTCTACAGTAGTTTCCATAATAGTCAACCCAAGTTTTGATCTACTGCGCAGTTGGCATCATGCAATAAAAATCAATTTTACACTCAATGATTTGCCTGATCAACATGCTAAAGTGGTTTCGATTAAGTTTGTAGCATCGAGATAAAAATGTGGATATTGCATTTTGCACATATTTATTTAATTTTTTTAGTTGTCAGAATCGGACAGTCAAGTGAGAAAAACTTTATTCCTGTTATCATTCATTTTAGTGATTAAAAGTTTACGTTTTCCGTTTAAATATTCCTGTGCGTATATTTGGGCACATATGAAATGGACAAAGTCTGACAATTATTTTCGGACATTTTTTTTTATATTTATACGTCCTTTTTATAGATACAAATATTTAAATAAATGCTCTGCTCATAATAAACAGTATTAACAACATTTACCGGTCTGAATGTCCGAGAAATGTTCACAGAAAATATACGTTCTCCGACAAAAATCGAACCTGTATCCTATACGGATCCGTCATATAGCCTGGCGTGCTTTTACCGATTGAGCCACAAAGAAGCGTTTCGATTAGCAAGGTCGATTTTACTGTATTTAAACTACAATCTTCCATGATTCTCTCACGGACATTCATATCTGCTCATGGTGTATCCAAATGTAAAGAAATGACGTCACACATTATGAAATGGAAAAATCCGACAATTATTTCAAAACATTTTTTCATGTTTATACGTTCTTTTTATAGATACAAATATTTAATTAAATGCTCTGTTTATGTCGCTAATACTGTTTATTATAAACAGAGCATAGATACAAATATTTAATTAAATGCTCTGTTTATGTCGCTAATACTGTTTATTATAAACAGAGCATTTACTTAAATATTTGTATCTATAAAAAGAACGTATAAACATAAAAATGTCTTAAAACATATGTATGTATGCATTCGAGAATATATGCGTATGCCCGAATAGGCGTTCGAGTGAAAGAATCATCTTACGTTTTCGTTGTAAAAACAAGTAAGAATACTTTACTAAATATCTCCTACGTAAAATTCATTACTCAGCTTCGGACTTTATGAATATCGTTGTAAAGGTGTGTTATGGTCCAATACCCTCGCACTACAGTTATGGTCCAAGGTTAGAACCAAGGAAGAACAACACGAACACAAGAGTAGAATAACAAAGATATATTACAACACAAATATAGTACAAGAAGTTGAAGGTGTTAGCAATGACTGTCCGCCTGGATTAGAGTGAACTAATATTGACTCGTTACACCATTCATTCGGTATCTATTTATTACTATTTATTACTTTTTGGTACAGAGAAACAATGTAGAATAGAAACTAAAGAGAATGTTTAGTCGTGAATGACTAATTGTTTTCAGCAAAAGCTACAGCTGCTAATCCTCTTGATGTAGGACTATTTTTCTGTCTTTAGTTCAACGGCCGAGTCCAAACTTGTAGGGAAATCTTCTCCCTCACGACAACATATATTGTTGTCATTCAGTTTTAACACGTGTGAACATCCTGAGATTACAACCTGTTTACATGTCAGGGGAGAGGGAAGCCACATGAGAGGTGCGAATCTGCACCTGGTGGATATAAGGTCAACCCTCTCACAGCCCACCTTCTGATGATTTAGTGTAACACAGAATGCAAAGTCTATTTTAGTATCTCTTATAGTGAACCGGGTACATTTTGAGGTCATCAAACATCAACTTGTATTAGAACTGAAATTAACATTAAATTCGATTCAGACCACCTGCAATTAGCTGGCGTGAATTACATACTATACAAAAATTGAGGGAGAGAGGGAATAGAGAGAGAGAGAGGGAATAGAGAGAGAGAGGGAATAGAGGGAGGGAGAGAGAGAGGGAGAGGGAGGGAGAGAGAGGAGGGGGAGAGAGGGAGAGGAGAGGAGGGGAGAGAGGAGGGAGGGAGAGGGAGAGAGAGAGGGATGGAGAGAGGGGAGAGAGGGGGAGAGAGAGGGAGAGAGGGAGAGAGAGAGGGAGGGGGGGAGAGGGGGGAGAGGGGGGGAGGGGGGAGAGGGGAGAAACTGAGATAGCTACGAATAGTTCCAGTAAAATTCCTGCTGTTGAGTAATTCTGCTGTTTGTTCGAAAGATAGAAGATGGGAAAAAATAGGATTTCTTTTATTTGTTTATATATCATCAAATCTCTTCCATTAATACATCATTTCATGTATTAAAAATGCGTATTACCAAAAGGACTATTTCATTCACTTAATCCACTTACAACTTCTAACTTCGCAACGTATGTCGTCGTCGTCTTTTAAGGGCAACTGTAGCAACAAACATATGTACTTCAGTCCACCCTAAATCCATCACTTCACTTGGGAGATCTAAATTGATCATTCATGTTGAATAGAAAATAGAAAAAAAATTGTTTCGTGCAAGGTTCTTTTCTTTTCAACAAATTAAATTACAAAATCGGACAGAGAAAAGCATTAGAAATTCAAATGTGGCAAGTTAAGGATTTGTTGTTTTGTTTCCGCAAACAAATGCCCATGGCTTTAATAAAACTGGCTTTCGTGATCAAGTACCGAAATTAAGAATCTTTACTTGCACAAAAGAGTTGTTTTAAATAAATTTCCTGTTAAAATGCATGACGATATTAAATGTATATAAAGAAGAAGAAAACTTTATAGAAGAAACTAAAGCAAGCAATGTGAAAATAAATTGGATGTTTTGCAGTTAAATGACAGAATCATTTCAGTTTGCCATCTAAACAAAAACACTTTTTCTGTAAACGACGTGTGTCTAGATATTTGCTATTAATTTTCGGGTGACTATTTCCAGGAAGAAGGCTTCAACAAATTAAACTGAACGGATTTTTAAAAATATAAATAAAAACCCTGAAATAAATTGAGAATTTATCACATTTTTTTTATTTTAAAATTGACTGATACCAAATTTTAGCAAAATTCATGCTTAGAACTAACTTTCATTGTACAATGATCCTCAAGTGATTGCAGTAATGTTCCGTTTTTTTTTAGGAAAATTGACATCTCCCACAACTACACAGTGTATGTGTGTATATATATATCATAATTGAGTAATTCATCGAGTCTGAAAGAAACCTCAACAGAATACAGAAAGCACTGGACGGCCGCTTCGTCATATTTTGGGTCTCATCAGCAGTGCGCATCCACTACCGAGAATCGAACCCAAACCGTTTCGATATTGGTCTCGGTGACGAAGAAGTAACTAACTAGACTTGATATAGCGCTTGCTCTTCACAGATTCCGTCGTGTGACTCATCCAAGTCTACTTATACGAACAGACTGTGCCCCCATGAGTCACATCTTCTATCCCCAAGTCTCTCCATCCAGAGAATTAGAAGCCGGCATAAGCAAGGATGGATATATATATATATATATATATATATACATACATACACGCGGGTTCGACTCTTACCACGTTTAGTTTGTCAGGAAGCAGATTCCTAACGTTATCGATTTGGAAGGGGACGTCCCAGCGTGCGGCAGTTTTCGTAAGTGCCTGAAAAACATACGTGTTGACCCAAGCCTTATGTATGAAGTTGGGTAGATGGAATACTTGGGGGCCGTCGATAGCTGTGCTAACACGAAGTCACAAATCATCGTGACCGAGGGATTTAGTGTGCTGGTATTTTTCAGATTATTGATCCCGCCAGATAACGCGCTCTCTCCGAGAAACTATAAGGTCTGATCAGTTGCAGTATAAACCACAGGTTGGCTCTGTCGGTGTTGAACAAAAACAAATGTGCCTGAGCGAGCGTCTGCAATAGGGTTTGGCTAGCCTCCCTAGCAGACGGGTTTCCTCGAATATGAGTGGCCAGCTATTATTATTATTATCATTATTATTATATACACACGTTCTAACAAATAAGACAACGAAAAAACAAAAATATCAACTTGAAAATTGAAAATTGATGTTTCATTTGCTGATATTTTAGAGAGTGGAGCGGAAAATATGATCTTTGAGAAGCTTAAATGATCAAAAAATTATTACAAATTCATAAGGCTATTTGATATATACTTATTTTTACTTGCATGTTAGAAATTCAAATTATTGCGATTTATTGCATATTCTCTATTTTCGGACGAGAAAAAATTTATATATAACAAAACATTTAAAAATATAAGATTTGAAAGACATAAATACAAATTTAAAAGAAATAGATTTCCTAGATGAAAGAGTCAGCCTAAGTGCAGTTACATCAGCCATATAGAAAACCCAATGACAAATCGCTTTACATCTTCCAACAATCCGTCAACAACAAACAAGCAGATTCTACAATCAATTAACCATAGGTTATCTGACAGTTCTTCTAATGAAATCAGCTTCAACAAACGCCAAAAAGATTATGAAGCCAGCTCGAAAAGAGGGTGGATCTTTCGGGAACACTCACATACACAGTTCAAAAGAAAAGCTTACATAGAAATAATCATATGGTTTAACTCACCGTACAACAAAAATATAAAAATAATCTTAGAAAAAATATTCATTAAACTCATCCATAAACATTTCACTTTCATTAATCACTCTCCATAAGTTATTCAACAGAAACAATAGAAATCAGCTACAGTTGCACAAAGGACTTGACACAAAGAAAAAAAAACAATGGAAAAATAACGAACAAATAACACACACCAACCAAACCCACCTGTAACTGCAGAGAACAGCGTGAACGACTGAAACGACAATTGCCTTCAGTGCAATATAAAAACCATTGTAGAAACAGAAGACAAAGGAAAAAAATATACATTGGAGTAAGTGAAAGACACTGAAAACTATGGACCCAAAACATTTACCAATAGTAAATACGCGAACAGCATAACACTTGAGAGTTTGAGGAAAACACCTAACCTATTGCTCTCCTTGAAACTATGGGGCAGTAAGCAGAGACGGGGAAGAGATGGGAGGTAACAAAAATAACACCGCTTTGGGAACCACAGCAACTTTATGAACAAAATGCCCACGGGACCGACAAGACATTCTTTCCAACTGTGGATTTTCCCGGTGCTTTTATTGACATGAGGAATCTTACAAAGACACGGATCTTGACAAATGGCAGAGAGGCCCGTATCTAGACATCAGCTGTTCCGCTGGTAACGGGGAAAACTTGGATTGGATGTAACTGGTATTCGAAAACGTGTCTGCACGCGATCCGGGGTGTCTTTTGTGTTTATACCGACGCGCGTTCGTTAGAATTTTCTAAACATAGGAGAAGAATACACGATAATTTCATGGAAAATAAACATACCACCAGCCTGCAACAATTTATTATCCAAAGAAAATATTCTTATCTGGAGGCGAAAAAACAAACAAGAAAACTATAATCACCTTCCCAGACCAACACAGATTGCTAAATAAGCGGTTATATATATATATATATATATATATATATATATATATATATGCATAAATACACTGGCGGATATAAATAGGAATATCTCATTTTACATAGAAAAGAGCAAGGTTTCAGGTGAAAAATATTTCACAATCACTACCATTTGTTATAGTTTTTCGCCAACGAACGACAGAGTATTCACATCTCAACTCAATAACCTGTCGATTTGTTCCTGTCTCTTAGCGATGAATCTTTTTAAGGAACTGTCATTTTCAGCCTAGTAGTACGTTCCAACTTTTATTCGACGGCTTTTCATTTCTTGTGTGAGAATAATTCAAATCCACCTGGTGTCCCCAAAACGTCGCCAACATCATTTACAACGAATTGAAATTCTCTAGAGAGTTCCTCGGTCGAATCGCTCATTATTTCGTACATTTTGGCTGAAAGGTTCAACTTCTGCTGCCAAACAATCAACGACTATCTTTGAATTTATGAGCCCGCTTCATAAATTAAGAGGCAGTAATTGCATTTTGTCCAGTTGTATTTGCCCTTTTAAATCGACTCAATTGTGAAATTCTACAAAAGAAAGAAAATGTATAAAATACTTGGCGCTCTTTAAAAATGGCGTTTGTCAGTGCCAAACAAGCCCCAAATTCAAATTACAGACACAATACTACTCGTACTGCCTTTTAGAGTGTAATTAACGTTTGACACACGATCGTTTTTATTGATTGGAGAACTGGACAAAGAGCGTCTGAAAAATGACAACCTACAAAGAGATAGAAGAAAAAATTTTCTTTGCTTTTTTTTTGACAAATGAAACATGGCACAAATAATTTTATCGATATATTTATTATTTAAACATCAAAATAAGATAATGTCAGTGAAATGCTAAGTATAATAATTAACAATCAATCCTCAAACCTTTGCAAATGAATACGACCCTTAATTGATGCCAGTGTGTTATAAAATGAAACGAGCCAAAAATTAATGAATATTTCGAAGTATAAGATGTTTAATCCTACATACAGGCAATCTAATTATGAATACAACGGCTATAGGTCTCTTAAAAGGCTATTTCCCTTTGAGATGTAAATGGTCGTAGCTCTTCAGAGCCTTTTTTTTATATTTTCTGGAAATTGCTATGACTTCCTAGAAAATTATCTTCAAGGTTTTGACTACAGATTTGACTTTACCATAGACTAGTTGCCTCCCAAGACTAAAGAGTCCAGTCTACCAATAGATGTATGGGAGATGGATTCACGTCGTCCCTAAAGGCATTAGTGCAAAATGAATGCAATTGACAAAGGTAAAGACATGAATTCCTTTTACAGATTTCATTTTTGGCACCGAAAATTAACATGATTACACTTCCTACTCATATGACTGAAAAATGTATTTTCAGTCTCATGAAGAAGTTGTTAGAACTCCAAAATCAAGGCCAATCCAGATACTGAAAAATTATACGGAAATGAAACTTAAAATATGTTGCTAAATTAAAAAGTAGGACATCTTGTACAGAGGTACACATCGCCATATTTCGTCTGGCATTTTATTTTGCCAAATCGTTGCTCACGCAAATATTAATCTTGCGTCTGATGGTCTACTTGACTTAAGTAATTGCTAGTGTTTGGTGATTATGATTTTCAATTCGTGCTAAAGTTAATTTAGTAAAAAAACAAAAACTAAAAGCATCTAGAGGGAAATATATGTATAATTTCAGTAAAGGCATAAGTATATTTGGGCAAAAATTCAATTATTGTTTTCATAAATTGCGAGTAGACGTCTCGTTATTGATTAATGAACTCCTAGATCTTAAGTATTGAGTTTGGTCTACATACAGTACCCTATATATGTGACCTTAAGACAAAAGAAAATTAAGCTTAGTAAATAATTACTATAAATTCTTTGCTTCTCTTTTAATGGGTTTCACTTAGAAGAAAAATCTCTAACATTTGGAAACGTATCGGGTTGTAACAATAATGCTCTTGATAGAGAAAGATTTTTAAAGGCAGCGTATAATTGTTTTATTACATCTGTTTCTCTTTCTTGAACCACTCTTTCTTTGGTTTGGCGAGAGAAACAAAAATTCTCAGTCCTGAATATAAAAAGGACTTTTGTGTATTTCATTCATTTATTGAATTTGTATAGAAAGAATTGGTCAAGCTTAAAAGGTAATTTTATGGATAGTTCCACATTGCTCTTATATTCTCTGGTTCTTGTATTGTTCTTGGGTTTTGGATTCATTTCGGACTCGTTATTAACTTCATCTCGAAAGACAGCTGACAGCCTTTGGGAAAATATCTGATGATTAACTATCAGCGTTCTTCTTTAACTGGCTGCACACGAAGCTGACTCTATTGCTGTTAGTTTTCCTCTACTTTGGTCACATTTGAATTACAATCAACCAGCCTTTTCAAACAAAATCATTATCCAACCACACTATTGCCCACCCGGGAGTGCACACTTGGCAACATTTTTTATCCCGAAGAGAGCGTGCGTCAGCGGATGGGTGTTCATCGATATGTATATACGAATATGTGATGAAGGGAGAGGAAGAGAAGGGAGAGAGAAGGGATAGAAGAGAAGAGAAGAGAAGGGAGAGAGAAGGGATAGAAGAGAAGGGATAGAAGAGAAGGGATAGAAGAGAAGGGAGAGAGAAGGAAGAGAGAAGAGAGAAGGGAGAGAGAGAAGAGAGAGAAGAGAAGGGATAGAAGAGAAGAGAGAGAAGAGAAGGGATAGGAGAGAAGAGAGAGAAGAGAAGGGATAGGAGAGAAGAGAAGGGATAGAAGGGAGAGAAGAAAAGAGAAGGGAGAGAAGAGAAGGGAGAGAAGAAAAGAGAAGGGAGAGAAGAAAAGAGAAGGGAGAGAAGAGAAGAGAAGGGAGAGAAGAAGAAGAGATAGAAGAGAAGGATAGAAGAGAAGGGATAGAAGAGAAGAGATAGAAGAGAAGAGAAGAAAGAGAAGGAGAGAAGAGAAGGGAGAGAAGAGAAGAGAGAGAAGAGAAGAGAAGGAGAGAAGGAAGAGAAGAGAGAAGAGAAGAGAAGAGAGAGAAGAGAGAAGAGAGAAGAGGAGAGAAGGGAGAAGAGAAGGGAGAGAAGAGGAGAGAAGAGAAGAGAAAGAGAAGAGAAGGGAAGAGAAGGGATAGAAGAGAAGAGAAGGGAGAGCAGAGAAGGGAGAGAAGAGAAGGGAAGAGAAGGGAGAGAAGAGAAGGGAGAGAAGAGAAGGGAGAGAAGAGAAGGGAGAGACGAGAAGAGAAGGGAGAGAAGGGATAGAAGGATAGAAGAGAAGGAGAGAAGGGAAGAGAAGAGAAGGAAGAGAAAAAGAAGGAGAGAAGGATAGAAGAGAAGGGATAGAAGAGAAGGGATAGAAGTGATAGAAGAGAAGAGAAGGGAGAGCAGAGAAGAGAGAGAAGAGAAGGGAAGAGCAGGGATAGAAGAGAAGAGAGAGAAGAGGAGACGAAAGAGGAGAGAAGAGAAGAGGAGAGAAGAGAAGAGAGAGAAGAAAAGAGAGAGAAGAAAAGAGAAGGGAGAGAAGAAAAGAGAAGGGAATAAAACTGTAGCTATCATCTTATAGAAAACTGAAATTCTGTCTATAACTTTTAACTCCTTAAAGTGTCTTTTGCAGTTTCTTACTCGACAAACAGAAGTTCATCCAGAAATAATATTTTTGTGCGTCAAGAAATTTGATGTAACTTGCGTGTTCGGTTTGACCATTGACGGCAGATATCAGTTGAGATCAGTGGGTATAATCAATAAATGATTTAAACTTTTCTCAACGATACGAGAATGTTTCACATGATTCGAATCTAAATGACTAATTGGTAACTATATTATTCATGATTGTTATTTACTAGAATTCACGAATCATTCCATTTTCAGGAGTAATTGGAAATAAATATGGAAGAACATGCCAAAGAGCGAATCCTGCATGCGAAAAAAGGGGACAGATTTATGCATAGAATTGCACAACTCCATTGTACATGGGATTGTCTCTAGGAGTATCATAATAATGTTAAGTTTAGGAAGGTAACATTTGTTTTAATTACATTTCTTTGTCATTTTTATAGTCTCTAAAGAGTTAGCGCTTTTAGAGTCTCTAAAGAGTTAGCGCTTTTAGAGTCTCTAAAGAGTTAGCGCTTTTAGAGTCTCTAAAGAGTTAGCGCTTTAGAGTCTCTAAAGAGTTAGCGCTTTTAGAGTCTCTAAAGAGTTAGCGCTTTAGAGTCTCTAAAGAGTTAGCGCTTTTATAGTCTCTAAAGAGTTAGCGCTTTTAGAGTCTCTAAAGAGTTAGCGCTTTTAGAGTCTCTAAAGAGTTAGCGCTTTTAGAGTCTCTAAAGAGTTAGCGCTTTTAGAGTCTCTAAAGAGTTAGCGCTTTTAGAGTCTCTAAAGAGTTAGCGCTTTAGAGTCTCTAAAGAGTTAGCGCTTTTAGAGTCTCTAAAGAGTTAGCGCTTTTAGAGTCTCTAAAGAGTTAGCGCTTTTAGAGTCTCTAAAGAGTTAGCGCTTTTCTAGAGTCTCTAAAGAGTTAGCGCTGAGAGTCTCTTTGTAAGAGTTAGCGCTTAAGCCCCCAAAGAGTTAACGCTTTGTTCCCCAAAGAGTTAGCGCTTTTTATAGTCTCAGAGTTCTTCTAAAGAGTTAGCGTTTATAGCCCTATAGTCTCTTATATAGCATTTAAAACTAAAGTAAGCATAAAACTATCCTTTAAATTTATTTATTTTTTTGTTTTTTATCCACTTTGTTGACACGTTTGTGCAATCTGGTCAGACAATAAGGGCAGAGTTAGACGGTTTTTATTTGTAAGTGATATATAAACATTTCAAAACTGTTTGCCGACCAGTAGTCGACAGGTAGGTGTCTGTCCTCCAGCAAGATTTAATTCTTCACAAACCAGATGACAGAACTGATCCGTTAGACTAAATCCTTCATCACTCTCCTTATTTAAGCAAAACTATCTCCTTCAGAGTACGACTTTTTCCGCATGTAGGCGTCAACTAACGTACACCAATGCAAATTGAAAAATGGTTTAATGTCTCCATGAAGCGATATACAAAGAAATAATGTCACGTTTAAAGTTTTAGTAGAGCCGGATACGTGGACAATTACCAACTTTTTTTATTTACATATGATTAGATTTAAAGTATTTTACTAAAACTGGGAACAGGAGAAACTCGCAGGAATATTTATTGTATACGATATTTACTTTTATCGGATGTATTTTTTATTGAAAACGTTTTCTTATTGGTAAAAAGTAACTGAATATTTTGAAAGAACACCACGTAGATTCCAAAAATATCATTATTTTCACATCCAATAACTCATTAACGAAGTTTCTCATTCCCCTTCCACGCGAATATGTGCGCTCGCGCATGTGCATCTGTTTTTCACACAGACAAATGGATTTTATCAAATCAAATCCCCCGCCACTTCTCTCACCGAGACACATACGTGAGCAGAAAATTATCACTGCATGTTTATCGACACAGAAATAATTATGGTTAATTCAATGCAAACTTTTACATTCTATTCAATGTGACCAAGAATTTTCAAATAATCATAAAATAAATTGTTATATATATATTATGAAATGGAGAAGGTCCAACTATTATTTTAAGACATTTTTTTTATGTTTATACATTCTTTTTTTTTTTTTATAGATACAAATATTTAAGTAAATCCTCTCTTTATAATAAACAGTATTAACAACATTTACCGGCCTGAATGTCCGAGAAATTTTCATAGAAATTATGCATCCTCCGACAGGAATCGAACCTGTATCCTATACGGAACTGTCATATAGCCTGACGTGCTTTTACTTATAAAAAGACCGTAAGAACATAAGAAATATCTTAAAATAATTGACGGACTTTGTCCATTTCATAATAATATTGACGTCATTTGTTTCCATTTGGATACGCATCGAGCAAAGAGTATGAATGTAGAGAAAAATTGGAGAATTAGAGTTTAAAAACAGTAAAATTGGACTTTGCTAACAAACGCTCCTCTGTGGCTCAATCGGAAAAGCACGTCAGGCTATATGACGGTTCCGTATAGGATACAAGTTCGATTCCTGTCA